CAGCTCATTTGCTGCATTGTAATTGTTCGTCATAATCTATGTAATTACAATGTAATTGTTCGTTAACATGGCCCCAGGGTAAATTGTAACGGAACAATCCATCATATAATGATAAGCAGCCACTTGCCTTTTTGCCAGACCTATAAGCTTATCAACATTGTTTATTATCATTCGCAGACAGTTGTTAAAAGAAATTGACCATAGTTTCGGTTGCCGTTTGTTTTTCCGTCGTTATGAGGCTTCTCGCGGGCAGAGGCTTCTCGCGCTGTGCATTCATGTAGATTGATTACAAATATTTTATGTTTCGTATACCAGCATATACACGCGTATGTTTCTGTATTTTATAATATAAAGAGTGATTTCTCTTGACGTACTCAGATGTTAAAGAATTGTAGAGGGTGCACGGAAATGCCTTACTACTGTTGTAGGCCTGAGCTGGAGGCTAGTGCGTGCTCTTTGTTTGGCCGGTGTAGCGGTGTGAACTGCTGCTGGGGATGTGGTGGGGAGGAGGAGAGAGCTGTAGTGTGGGGCTAGAGAGGGGGAGAGCTGTAGTGTGGGGCTAGAGAGGGGGAGAGCTGTAGTGTGGGGCTAGAGAGGGGGAGAGCTGTAGTGTGGGGCTAGAGAGGGGGAGAGCTGTAGTGTGGGGCTAGAGAGGGGGAGAGCTGTAGTGTGGGGCTAGAGAGGGGGAGAGCTGTAGTGTGGGGCTAGAGAGGGGGAGAGCTGTAGTGTGGGGCTAGAGAGGGGGAGGACTGTGTGTGTGTGTATGATCGTAGTACAGCGAGCGTACTATGGCTACGCTCACTCCGGCAGTTCTCAATGCCTGGTGGCCGTGGCCGCAGCCTGCTGAGCGCCGTGTCGCTGCCTCGCTGCCTCTCGTGATACTCTGCCTCTCGTGATACTCTGCCTCTCGTGATACTCTGCCTCTCGTGATACTCTGCCTCTCGTGATACTCAACTTGCCACTTATAGTGAAGTATGTCACTCACGCAACTCATGTGTCGTTATAAACAGTATTAGAGGCTTAAGAAATGCACTCGAGTTTCGTCAACAATTTCTCGCTCTGTTAAATGTAATCAGGAATCGTAGAGTAATGCTGATTTTATTTCTGCTCAAGATATAATTGAATTTCCTCTTTTTTGTTTCGGAGTGAACTGTTTTATTGGGATTTTGTGTGTTCGGCATTGTTTTTAAAATGGCAACGGCTGCCATGTTTTCGTCGTGAAGGTTATAGTTGGCCTCGCTCTGTGAACTGTCGTCAGGCTGGAACAATCTTCTTTTATGGAAACAAATATGTACACTGCAACACGAATTCTACTGAAATGATACATGTAGCTATAGGTGATATTGGTTGTGGCAGAAAAATCGTAAAAAGAAGCTTGTCCAGGGCTCCTAGTGATCGGTTGGGACATGCTTGCTCTTCTCTCTATCAGAGCTCGCTGCGGATCAATGTAACTGGCACGCGCTGCGTCTGCCTTGCCTCTCCCTTCTTTTCTTCCCTGCCTCCATTCAGCTCACTACTTCTCGACCTTGTATTTCTCGAGTTCCGTGTCCCGAACTCCGCCCCACGCCCTCTCTCCAAATCATGGTTATTCACTCTTGAATATCGGCCTTATCCTGTCCTCAGATATCGGCGTCGCTTATCATTCCTAGCTGGCATTGCTAGTGCCATCTATTTCCCAGCTGACATCTTTAGTGTCCTCAACTTTCCAGCTGGCAGCACTAGTGTACTCTCTTTTTAAGCTAGCTTTGCTTAAACTCTTCATTTCTCGAGCTGAAATCTCGTTCAATACTCCAGTGTCCTATCCTGGGACTGGTCTTAACTGGTCTAAATTCATGCAGAACTTAGACCAGTAGCTGAATTTAGCGCTTATTTTATAGTCAATGTGTCGGAACAGCAAATGACGATACCGATATAGTCTCTTACGCTAGCGTGTACCCTGTTATAATGTCTCTCTTGCCAGCATGGTGAGAAAAAGTCATTGTCTTGTTACTTCATTTCAGATGATGCCATACGACCTTCGCTACCTCAACTATAACCTTCTAGTCCTAAGTTGAACTCGGAGCATTTTCCTTTGCGATGTTCCCGTACCTAGTTTCGATTTTTTATATTCATTGCTCAAATGTTACTTCGTTGGCTGCGAGTAAGGTCTGTAATGGTGCTACTGTGATAGCTGCTTACGTGTTATGTCATGATTTGAACTGACCTGTTGAGTTTGTGATCATTATTATTTATTATGTTCAATGATTATTTCCGGAGCTGATCCTAGTGTGTGGCCTGATGAACGAATTGTTGTTGTCTTCCTCACTGGAGCAACACTTGCACTGCACCTCTTCTCAGCAACCCTGATTGCCGGATCGCCATTCAGGTGTGTGCGCCTTCACAACTAAATGTCGAAGATCTTTTCGGCAGAAAAAAATATTTCAATATTTGCCTCTAGTAATTCACGCACATCCTTGCTATGGGTTATAGTGGGTTCCGTCGGATCACCGGCCTTGGTGGTCCAGTGCTGTGTTGTGTGCTGGCTGATCGCCGGGCTTGGTAGTACGTAAATTAGTGGAATTTAGAATTTTTTGATCGGTTCTCCCGAGTGGCAGCAGAGAGAAGGAGGCGCGCTGCTGCGCAGGAGGCATTGAGAGGGAGAGAGAGCGGTCATGGGGCTTGAGAGGACTAGGGAGTGTGTGAGGGGGGCTGCGTGTGAGAAGGGCGGCGTGCTGGGGAGCGTGTGAGAGGGGCGGCGTGCTGGGGAGCGTGTAAGAGGGGCGGCGTGCTGGGGAGCGTGTGAGAGGGGCGGCGTGCTGGGGAGCGTGTGAGAGGGGCGGCGTACTGGGGAGCGTGTGATGAGAGCAGTGTGCTGTGTGGCGCAGGTGATGGTGATTGTGATGATGGTTGTTGGTGATGAGGTGATGAGTGCGACATGAGGAACGTAATGTGAGTGGTCTGAGGAAGTAGTAACGTGTGCGCTTTTAGGTCTTGGCCGCTGGTGGTAGGCAGAAGTATAGGAGTTGTGTGGTAGAGAGTGGGAGGAAGTTAGCTGTGCTAGCGGCGCTGGGAGGCCAGGCTCCTGACCACGGCAAGACCAACAATTTATTGTCTTCTTGTATTAGACTTGTGTTGGTTTGTTGTGGTCCCTCGCTGATCAGCGAATTATGCTTAATCTGAGGATTAACAGTTATATAGGTCCGTTATTAGACTGTATTATAAAATCTCTGGACGCCAGCACGTCATCTGTTGTCTGAGGCCTGACCAGTTAGGTGGCCGTTGAATGTATCACGTTACGAAGTATTGAGCGCAGTAGCGTATATTCCTGAGGATCACAGGCATGAGCGCTGTAGTTCGCTGCCAGTTTCGACCGCGTTATGTAGTGCGTACGATTGCATGACTGAGCTCTGGCGCAGGCGCTCTGCAGTCATAGTGAAGGTCACTGGGTACGCGCGCTTCTCTTAGGAGCCCGTAGCTTTAAGCTGCCCTCGCACCTCTGCCCTCACCTCCCCTGCCCTCACCTCCCCTGCCCTCACCTCCACTGCCCTCACCTCCCCTGCCCTCACCTCCACTGCCCTCACCTCCACTGCCCTCACCTCCACTGCCCTCACCTCCACTGCCCTCACCTCCACTGCCCTCACCTCCACTGCCCTCACCTCCACTGCCCTCACCTCCCCTGCCCTCACCTCAACTGCCCTCACCGTTTCACACACAAAAAATGTCACACAATTTGTGTTTCGTCACGGGTATTTGACGCTTCAATTTGTTACCGATCGTGACTTCTAATTTTATCCAAAACCATTAAACCTTCTAAACGACCTTTCTCTTGCTCGCATTAGTAGCAAAATCCCTCTTGATGATTGTCCTAATGATAACAGGAATTGGCAATCGAATTTCTATCCCTAATGCGATAGAAACGAGATACTTCGACTATAAATAGTAGCTTAGGAGCAATTCATGGAGAGATGTCGGTTCAGAAGATTTTTGCTGGAGCACAAAACATCTCAACAATACACGGATGCTTTAAGGGATAATGACAGTGATTGTGTCTATTCTATTGAAGGTGCAAAAAGTATTACTTTGTCATCGGGATAATCGGGCAGGCTGGTAGCGGCGCTGTCAATGGAGCGGTGTAAGCGCACTACTACCAATGCTGGGCAGGCAGGCTGGTAGCGGCGCTGTCAATGGAGCGGTGTAAGCGCACTACTACCAATGCTGGGCAGGCAGGCTGGTAGCGGGGCTGTCAATGGGAGCGGTGTAAGCGCACTACTACCAATGCTGGGCAGGCAGGCTGGTAGCGGCGCTGTCAATGGGAGCGGTGTAAGCGCACTACGATCAAGGTCGGAGACCGGCATTGATTGGAGGCTCTCCTTGCCTTGCTCTCACTCTTTCTAGCCTCTCTCCTTTACCTTACACTTTTCATCGTCATCTATCCAAACTACATTTTTAATTTGATAATTTTTTTATTATGCATTATTCTTAGTTAGTTCTTGAGTGTGAGCCCCGCGGGATCGTTTCTTGTGCGATAAAAGCAGTCAGGTGCGTCATTGGTCTCAATGAAACAATCTCTTGGATATTTTTAATGGCGTCATAATTCATGGTTCTTCGCCCCATTAATCCCCTGTTGCCCCATTAATTACAAGTGGGAGTATTCATGTTTCAATTACTTGTTAATATTATCATTATTCTCTTGCTAACCTTAATGGCTCACTTGGCTGCAATGAGGCAATTCAGGTGTGTGACTGATTTACTGTTTTACTTGCGTAAGTTGACTCATGCTGTGAGTTGAATTGTTATTGCAATGTGTGTTGTTCTTCAGTGTACCCACTCCTGGCGCTGTATCGTTGTGCAGATCGCCTTATCTTTGTCATCACAGCGTCATCTTCTCCTTTTTTGACTATGCATTCCTTAGCATGGTGACAAATTAGCATAATAAGAACGCTTACAAAGGGTTTGTATGCATGCCATGTGATGCACATTCTTTTATCACTGTTGTTGAGACGCCTGCCTCTTGTGTTAAGGGTTGCCGCGCGGACGTTTCTGCCGACGACGCTGCAGGTGCGGTGAGCACAAGGCGACCCTCAGACTCGCAAAAGAGGACTGCAAGAAGAAAAAGTCTTCGCGTCCCAGCTGAATAATTCGAATTCATCAAGACCCGTTTAGTTTGAGAAGTGCTAGCAAGAAGTTGAGGCAGCTGGCTGTCCCAGTTGAGTGGTGGGGAGTGGGGCCAGAAGATGGTGTCTATACGACGCACGACATCACTGGATGCCCTCACCTCCAGACCTGCTGGGCCCCACGAGTGGTCCAGGCCCATTACACTACACACGCTCCTGCTGCTCCACAAACACACACAAGTGAGTCAAGCTTATCAAGTCTTGCCAGTTTTTGACTAAGAAAAGACGTTTTGGCGGCCATTCTCATCTTGAAAAATGCGACAGTCGTGTACGTCATGAATAAAAGATGAATTCGATGGTGGTAGTATGAATTCATGCGTATTATTCTCATTAATTGATAAGGAAGAAATTAATTTACTATTCAATTGTTGTCATTTATTATATAAGCAACAGATTTATACAGAGGCGCGCGGACGATAAATATCTATTATGGTTTTATTCGTGATGAATTTCGCCGCCCATTAAACCTAGTTCTGATGCTAGAGGTCCTAATTTTTCCTCTAAAAGGCCCTTAATCCAAATTTTTCCTGATCCTTTGTGTCCTTCTTTCTCATTGCTTTGTTATTGAATATCCAGCCGCTATATATTAGCTTGAGTTACCGCCTCCTTATCTGATGATGTGCCTGAACTCCTTATTTGATGTGCCAGACCCCAGCGGCGTGGGTGGAGGAGTGGACGGACGTGCCGCCCCCAGGCTGGTGTGGCTCTGGCGTCCCCACAGCTGCAGGGGCGTCAGTGGACGATGCAGTGGACGTGACGACAGCAGCGACCTCTCACGACCACCGCAGACGCCCTCACTCTAACCCCTGCAGTCCCCGGCACGCGCCCTGCAGTAATGCTGTGGTGCCCTCCCTCGGCGCCTCCCCAGCTCGCAGGACTCTCAGTATCAGGTACGTGGGGTGTACAATGTATAATATAAATGGTTATATCGCCAATGCTCTCCCTCTTGACCATATTAGTGTCAAATAATAGTGTAACTTGCGTATAAAATTCGTTTACTTTTAATTGTAATTAGAGTGACCATATAATGGTATTGCGATGACTTTAGTGTTATATAAAAACAGGACCAACTTTATTTGGTGTAATTACTTTACCGTTGCTTAATAAGTTTACCGTTGCTTAATAAGTTTACCGTTGCTTAATAAGTTTACCGTTGCTTAATAAGTTTACCGTTGCTTAATAAGTTTACCGTTGCTTTGCCTGTAATCCCCACAGTGTAATGCAAACATTCTAGCATTGACATGTTCGTTTGAAATAAGAATCTAGGCGCGTAGCTAAGCAGTATCCTAATGAGTGCTCCTGTATGCTCAGGAGGACTCCGGACAGAGGCTTGCAGGACTCCCCCTCCTCCCCTCCTCCCCTGTGGTGTCCTTCCCCATCTGTGCTCGCCCCCACGGCGCTCCCCCTGCAGGGGGAACCTCTGGATAAATTCATCCGTCAGAGGTGAGCAGAACTTTTAGGCAGGCCTGGCAGAACCTTTAGGCAGGCCGGGCAGAACCTTTAGGCAGGTCGAGCAGAACCTTTAGGCAGGCCGGGCAGAACCTTGCTGTAGGCAGGCCGGGCAGAACCTTGCTGTAGGCAGGCCGAGCAGAACCTGTAGGCAGGCCGGGCAGAACCTGTAGGCAGGCCGGGCAGAACCTGTAGGCAGGCCGGGCAGAACCTGTAGGCAGGCCGGGCAGAACCTTTAGGCAGGCCGGGCAGAACCTTTAGGCAGGCCGGGCAGAACCTTGCTGTAGGCAGGCCGGGCAGAACCTTGCTGTAGGCAGGCCGGGCAGAACCTTGCTGTAGGCAGGCCGAGCCTATAAAGAAATTCATTCAAGGTACCAATATTTATAAGGTTACATCGGTGAAATAACTGAGAACCTAATTTTGTTGCCAATGTTTAGTTTTCTTCAGTTTGTTACATCCCTGCTAGTCGCGTTTCTTCATATTCAGTGTTTGCTCATGTTCCGTGTACACGAATTAAATAATTCCCGTAACATGTGATGGTACAAGTACTCGACTAGGTCCACTAGAACCAGTTCCAGTTCTTAGCTCCTCTAACACACCAAATAAGATAGTTATTGCCCAGAGCCTATACTTTCAAAAAGAAAGTTAAGAGATCGTAAGTTCATCAGCCAATCATTGACGGCCTTTCAAGCATAATCCACCAATCATAGACAAGAAAATAGAGCGTAAGTACTTACGTTCACTTAGCGTAAGTACTTACGTTCACTTAGCGTAAGTACTTACGTTCACTTAGCGTAAGTACTTACGTTCACTTAGCGTAAGTACTTACGTTCACTTAGCGTAAGTACTTACGTTCACTTAGCGTAAGTACTTACGTTCACTTAGCGTAAGTACTTACGTTCACTTAGCGTAAGTACTTACGTTCACTTAGCGTAAGTACTTACGTTCACTTAGCGTAAGTACTTACGTTCACTTAGCGTAAGTACTTACGTTCACTTAGCGTAAGTACTTACGTTCACTTAGCGTAAGTACTTACGTTCACTTAGCGTAAGTACTTACGTTCACTTAGCGTAAGTACTTACGTTCACTTAGCGTAAGTACTTACGTTCACTTAGCGTAAGTACTTACGTTCACTTAGCGTAAGTACTTACGTTCACTTAGCGTAAGTACTTACGTTCACTTAGCGTAAGTACTTACGTTCACTTAGCGTAAGTACTTACGTTCACTTAGCGTAAGTACTTACGTTCACTTAGCGTAAGTACTTACGTTCACTTAGCGTAAGTACTTACGTTCACTTAGCGTAAGTACTTACGTTCACTTAGCGTAAGTACTTACGTTCACTTAGCGTAAGTACTTACGTTCACTTAGCGTAAGTACTTACGTTCACTTAGCGTAAGTACTTACGTTCACTTAGCGTAAGTACTTACGTTCACTTAGCGTAAGTACTTACGTTCACTTAGCGTAAGTACTTACGTTCACTTAGCGTAAGTACTTACGTTCACTTAGCGTAAGTACTTACGTTCACTTAGCGTAAGTACTTACGTTCACTTAGCGTAAGTACTTACGTTCACTTAGCGTAAGTACTTACGTTCACTTAGCGTAAGTACTTACGTTCACTTAGCGTAAGTACTTACGTTCACTTAGCGTAAGTACTTACGTTCACTTAGCGTAAGTACTTACGTTCACTTAGCGTAAGTACTTACGTTCACTTAGCGTAAGTACTTACGTTCACTTAGCGTAAGTACTTACGTTCACTTAGCGTAAGTACTTACGTTCACTTAGCGTAAGTACTTACGTTCACTTAGCGTAAGTACTTACGTTCACTTAGCGTAAGTACTTACGTTCACTTAGCGTAAGTACTTACGTTCACTTAGCGTAAGTACTTACGTTCACTTAGCGTAAGTACTTACGTTCACTTAGCGTAAGTACTTACGTTCACTTAGCGTAAGTACTTACGTTCACTTAGCGTAAGTACTTACGTTCACTTAGCGTAAGTACTTACGTTCACTTAGCGTAAGTACTTACGTTCACTTAGCGTAAGTACTTACGTTCACTTAGCGTAAGTNACTTAATATGTGTGTACGTTCAGTAACGACTTAATATGTGTGTACGTTCAGTAACGACTTAATATGTGTGCAGCTGAACGACGGGAGGCGGGCGCCGTTGCCAGGATGTGGCCTCAAGACTCGCTCTGTCAACACCCAGACGACCTCCTCCCCCCACTCCGCGTCCCCCCACTCCCCCCAGCCTGGTCAGTTGCAAGCTTTGCTGCACATGAGTCTGTCAACATTTTGCTCTTCATGAAAATAATAACATGATAGAACCCTCCCCTCACAACCCCTGTATGGGGCTAGAACCCTCCCCTCACAACCCCTGTATGGGGCTAGAACCCTCCCCTCACAACCCCTGTATGGGGCTAGAACCCTCCCGTCACAACCCCTGTATGGGGCTAGAACCCTCCACTCACAACCCCTGTATGGGGCTAGAACCCTCCCCTCACAACCCCTGTATGGGGCTAGACTGCGTGCAAGATAAAAAATTTCATCCTTTGTTTGTTCACTGCTTCATTGTTTTTTAATATGCCATAATTTTAGAATTGAACACTTTTTCACCAAATGCGAAGTATTATGTGTCCAGGTGCAGTATTCGTTTTAATGTATTTATTATTTTGTAGATTATTCACCAATAGACTGCAGCTTCTCCCCCGTTGCGTGCTCTCCCTCTGGGTCGCCTCTAGACTCCCCCACGGCTGAGGGAGACGGCAAGCTCAGGTCCAACTCCTCCCCGCACATCAACAAGTTCCTGGCGCGGGAGCCTCCCACGGGCTCGCAGAGAGTCGCCCTCAGGGTCCGCGATGGCAGGTTAGCACAAGGAGAAACCTATTATTTTTTATATAATTCATATACAGTCATACACACGAAACGGATGTTGTTTTAGCGCATTTTCTCATTTATGGACAAGAAGGCGCTATTGTGCTCGTCATGTCCATCCGTCTGTCTGTCCGTCCTTCCATCCGTCCGTCTGTGACCACGTTTTCGTCGACGAGAAAATGCGCTCTTTGTCACTAACTGCAGAGTTATATTTTTTTATATACCTCATATACAGCCATACACACGAAACGGTTGTCGTTTTTTTGTATACTTAATGTACAGCCACGTACACGAAACGGTTGTCGTTTTTTATATACTTAATGTACAGCCATGCACACAAAACGGATGCCGTGTGAGAGAAGTTGTTGAATAAGATTTTCTGAATAACTGGGGGCGCTAGAGACAGTTGGTTGCTCCAGAAAGATAAATGATTAAATAGGGATTTAAAAAAAGTAAGAAAAGAGAGACATTTCTTAGCGTCTCATATATTTTAAATGTTGGAGACTCTGAGTGATTACACCACCAATTCTACGTTACGTTCAGGTTCAGGTTCAAGATACCGGTATTCGTTACTTATCGTTTTGTCAGGTGGTTGCCGAGTGGCATTGATTCGGCACGTGAATAAGGTTCTCTTTTTGGACAGGTTCGGCAAAATATAGTACAGGGAGAGGGTGTAATGAAACACTGATACATTTCATATTAAATTGAGAAATTTCAAGTTCACATCCTACGTTAACAAACATCTCTAGTAGGTACATGAAAAAGGCGAGCTGAACACAAAGTCCAAAATCTATCAGTTAAATCATCATCATGTAAAATCATCTAATTTTACCGGAAAAAAGCGTGTGATCCGTTGCAGTTCCGTTGAGCCGTACGACTGTTGTAAACGACCGTAAACTTGCGCACATATTTACGGCTGTACGTTCAGCGACCGTACCGCGGCTGTCACCGCGCGTTGCAGCCGTATTTCAGGTGGCCGTACTGCAGCTGTATCGCGTGTCTCTCTTCACAGTTGCTCTTTCTTCATAGCTGTCGTATCTCGTTTATATAGATGTCTCACGGTCAGTCTGGCCGTAGAGTTGATGATGACCGTACTTCAGAATAGTAGCGTAGTCTTCATTGTCGATGATCTTACTTCGGCTCAATGCGGTGCTTCGGCGGTTGAAGATGAATACAATATCGTACCGCTTCTTCTTGATGGAAATCGTGACCGTATCGTACAGATGATTCTTGGTGTAGAGCTCGAAACTTAGATCTTCTGATGAAAATAGTGACCGTATAATTTGTTGAAGTCGTAACCACTTCTTCTGATGAATATAGTGACCGTATAATATATTGAAGTCGTAGCCGTTCATTGTATATGTTTGACGCGCTCACAGGAATCGTAACTGCCTCGGTGAGTCCAAGTTTCTCGCAAGTCGCGACCGTCAATGTTCGAAAACGGTAACACCGCGGCCTCACGGCCGCAGCCGTTTGTACGTCCGCTAGCTGCAGACCGTACGTGCGTGACGGTCTCCGCCGTAGAACCAACAACCACCCTTGGCGCGAAATCTGAGGTCCTTATATACGCTAGAGTCGCGCACACTTAAGCCTAGCCCTCGAACTGACGCACATTCCTTCGAATGGAATTTCCCTTGCAACGCTGAGCGCCAACGTTTCAATGTAAACAACCTTTCCCACGGTCTCGACACAACGGCGCCGCATTCTTAGCATTCTTAACATCTATGCATAATACATGTTCAATATTACCTATGTTCAATATTACCTACTTTATTCATAAAATCTTGCAATAAACTAGGTACCAAATGTTCATCGTTTTGTGACGCATTGAAATACAGCCGCATTGAAGTCTGTCCATTCACCCCTTGCAGTTGGGATCAAAGATGTATTTGCAATTCAAATTAAACATTGACTTATGCTTAGTTTTCCAATTCATTCAGCATAGCCACACTGTCATTTGCAAAATCAATGTGTTCTACTGTTTATATTTCACTTGATTACCTCCGTTAAATGTTCTAAGTAATAACCTTTTTTTCAGATGTGAAAGCGCTGAACCCTTCGTGGCTCCGAAGCCTTCAGTACCTTTCACCCTGCGTCCCAGCCTGGGGTCGGCCTTCTGTCCCCCTCAGATGCGGACCTCCGCCGCTGCCGGTGACATGACTGGCGACCGCTTGCATCCTAGTGACCCGCGGGACGCTTGTGGGCCGCTGACACAACAGCAACGCGTGTCAGATCACCTGGCCCCTCACTTCCCCAACGCTGACGTTGAAAGACTTGCTGACAATGCTTGCGATACAGTTTCTAGTAAATGTTCTGCTTCGCTAGGTCTAGATGATATACAATATCCTTCCAATGCAGGATTAGCTTCCTTATCAGACGCCTCTATGCTGGCGAGTCCTGCTGCCGGCATACAATAGCATTAGTCATGTTTAGTCTTACGTAGTCATAAACTAGGCTTCTCGTCAAATTTTTGACAATTCCTATTTCTTCAAATACGAATGGCTTAATGTCAAGCTGTTCACTTTAGGTGGCTCAGTTTCTGTGCGAGATACTTCTTTTTCTTCACGACTCTTCAGACCTAATCTTTGCTTGAACCTAAATACTTACAAACTTGCTGCTTTTCAGCAGACATACCTTTTATGATTGTTTTCAATTTAGTTTAGGTCGGGGATTCTTAAGCACATACATCGCAAATTATTAAAGTATCGTTATGTTATACTAGACACAAATAAGCGAGAATACGACGCAGTGCCACAGCTTGTTACACAAGCTTGTCATAAACCTGAAAAAGAACTTGAGCTCATGACATTCTCATCTCGTTATAGGAAGTTTGTAAAACCACAAATACTATTGATTTCCTTTAATTTATCCGCTTAAATATTCAGTTCTTAAGCGGTTATCACGTTGTTTTTCTCCCTGTACTTTAAGCCTTGACGTTGCGCATTGCTTTGGAGTCTATAAGTGAGAAGTTTTGGTGCCGGGTGCTCGATGTGTTGCAGTACAAATCACCTGCCATAAAATAGATACTCTCGTTTATTCCATTGACTCGGCCTGCGTACTCGGCTGCTGCTTCAGTTTTGCCGAGTCAGGATTAGGGAATGTTATTTTAGTCTTGCTAAGTTATTTGTATAATAATTTACCTTCTTCCTGTGAACGAAATTGTTATATTACAAAACCTTTTATTGTGAGTTATATTTCTTTTTACATTTTCGGAGGGTTAATGAAACGGAGGGTTAATGTTCTAAATTTTCGGAGGGTAAATGAAACGGAGGGTTAATGTCCTAACTCCAACAATCAGCAATTGTCGTTATAACTTCTAATATCTATATTTGCGGTATGAAACGTGCCGTAAGAAGGCTTCAAATTCGAATGAGAATTATTAGAAATAACATTTGCTCAATTCGTATGTGTGAGCAGAACGATGTATTACTTATTGAAAAATTCCATGTTATTTTGAAAATCAACTAATTATTAATTAGAAATAATTATAACGGAGAAATATTGATAAGCCTGCGTTAGTCAAGTGTGTCGCAGAAGAGCGTTTTGTATACGTTGCTTCAACGTCAAGTCTTTGAAAAGAAAGATTTTTTCATAACAGCTTAATTTTTAAATATTCCTTCGTGGTTTTTTGTAGGGCATACGTTGGTTATTATTAAATCAACTCTACTGAGATCGATTTCATGGCAATGCTTCATAATGTGTCGCATGACCTTTCCCCATTATTTGTCTCTGGTATGAAAACTTCGCTGCTGCAGGTTCTCTTATAATTACGCTATATATATTCTGTTTACTATTTCGGGTTAGGATTTCTTTTTTGCATACCCGAACTTGTAATAATGATCGAATATCTTGCGTCAATGCTGGCTAGCTGTCGTAGCTCAGCTACGGTGACCGAAACCATCCCTACTCTGTTCTTTCTTGAAGTGATGCTCTTATGTTCCCAGAACATTTGAACGCAAGTAATAATAACCTTACACCGAAGTTTTGTGCTGAATGCCCCCGCGATGTTAACTAACTTATTAGCCTGCGGGCACCCGACCGTCCTTATCAGTTCTCCCGCCCTACGACGCTGCAACCATCATAAGAAATTCGTTCTAAAGTCCAATGAAAATCCAGCGTTGGAGGCTCTGCTAATACCTTTCTCTCAAATCCCCATCTGGTACGCTTTATTTTCATCGCGATTGCGATTTAGGGATTTGATAACGATGTTTCAGTCGTTTGAAGTATTGAGCGTCACGATTTTGTTATGGCTTGCTTAGTGGGGGACTGCTGTCTTTTTCAGCATCCGAATCGCCTTGACCGGTAGTTTGAATCACACGACTTGTAAGTTTCATAATCTTTTCTTGTGAAGCAGATTACGTTGTGTGCTCTTACATCACCTCTGCTACATCTTATGCATAAGAAGCAGACCATAAAATATTCATGTTTCATTGTATATTAATCATGAACAGAAGTTTATGTTCAGTATTAGACGAATCAAGTGAAATAGAATAAATATTCCTCGATATCCACGGGTTTATCTTATCCTTATAGTTGGTGTCGGTACGTTTCAGTTGCCCAACTACCATGGGCCGTCTTGCATCGCTACGCAAGAACTTAGGTTTGTTCTTCGTTGAGATTGGTATAGTTAAGTAGCTGCATCGAAGAATAGGCAAAGTTTGGCCTATCGCAGATTATTTTACTGTTCTTGGTCTCCTGGAGATCTGAGAAATGACCTTTCAACCAGATCCATCCTAAGTTGACGTTGACGCTAAGTAGCTGCTGAGCATCCACCATTTTGTGAGGTAGGAGACTTTTCTAGTCGAAACATATACTCCTTCATTGTGTTCTTAGCCGCGTTCATACTCAGATCGTCACCGATACCACTAGAGTCTGATCCACATGTCGGTGACATGAAACGGGAAGTGTCGCATGGATGAGTTGTATCGCAGTTTTTGTTTTTATTTTTTACAAACGTGGTTCCTGTTATTTGTTCTCTTCTGAGAATGCTTGAACGCTTCAACGAGTTCGCCATGGAATCTATGAGAGCAAAGACATGGAAGCTTCACAAGCTCAAATATTTCTCTAGAAGATTTACTTGTTAAGCTTTTAATTATCTTTGTTGCACATCGTTGAACACTCTCGACTAAATGCTTATCCTGGCGTGAACAATTTTTTTCATGAATGACCCATCTGACGCTTGCTTTACCAGTCGTTGCGTACCTAATTTTGAGTTATGATGAAACTGAGTTCAGTAAATTTGTCAATGTGTTCGAATTATGTTACGGCGTAGTTTCTGTTCCAATATTTTAAATTAAATCTAATAAATCATTACGAAACGTTTTCTGCGGATTATGTTTGCATTTTACTTATAAACTTAATGGGGATAAAAGGCTTGATAGTTTTTTAATGGGTGTTTTTAGAGACTGATGCCTCACAGGTTCATCGTAATGAATGACTGCTCGGTGTGTCATGGTTAACGCTGTTGGAATTTATTGGACAGCAAGAGCCAAAGAGGGGGAGATTTTTTGACATCTCCAAGTAGAATTAAAGGAGACAATATGATCATTTGATGGGTGTTTTAAATAGGCGTCCACTCTGGAGAGGACTAATTCAATTTCCAGGGAATGGGTTCGAGATGCAGGAACATATGTTCAGTATTGAAATGCCTAGCACCTTATATAAGAGCCTTGCAATAAGTCCAGCTGCTATCTCAATCAATCGTCAGCTATGGAAAGATCGGGTTCCAAAGGCCGGATCCCTTGTGAATCAAGTCACGAAAAATTCAAGAATCGGCAACAGGCGATGGGCCTATTTCTTCAGTGCCAACACTTCTCTCCTATTCTATTCTATTCTAAAACATTCATTTCAAACTTTGCGTACAAAGAAAATTTCCCATAGTTTCTTTGAACTTAACCAGCGATCTCGAGGCAGGAAACGTGCCATGTAAGGTTTCGGGACGGTAGATAAATCAGGAAGTTGATCAATGCACTGAACTAACCACTCCTTTGTCCCCTGATACGAGAGTTGATCTGATTCCTATGTGATTGGTAGCCACTAGCCGTGTTTAAATCATTGGGCGAACTAGCATTCATGTGCTAAACTAAGCTTAACATTGAATCCTTCAGAAAAGTCTCGCATAATAATATTTTTTTGTCTGTGTTAGATTATTTCCTTATAAATCTACAGAACTGGATGTGTCATGTGTTGCGATTTGAAGTGCGTTCGTAGGTTACGCATCACTTAGATTAAGATTTCTGACGTATCACGGCTACGGTGATCGAAGTGACCAAGGTTCCGCTCACTGACGAAGTGATGCATTGAAGTTCCCTAGGACATTTTAATGAAAGGACACCCTTTGATTAACTCCGGCTGCAATATTCGCATTGTAGCCTACTGCTTGTACATAACGATCACTTCCAACTGACGTTGCAGTTGATATTCTCGACAACTTGAGTTACAGTAAAAATTTGTTTCTTTGGAAGCCTTTTGGCCGCGAGGTTTATCAAATTCCATAAATTGTAAGCATTGAACCAAAATTCCGCGTAGAATTCCTTCCCTAATGTTAAGCGACTATAGAATAGAATAGAATAGAATAGAATAGAATAGAATAGAATAGAATAGAATAGAAGTGTCGGCGTTGAAGAAATAGGCCCATGGCCTGTTGCCGATTCTTGAACTTTTCGTGACTTGATTCACAAGGGATCCGGCCTTTGGAACCCGATCTTTCCATAACTGACGATTGATTGAGATAGCTGCTGAGACTTAGTAAGCCAAATGCGTGCCTAATTAATGCTATCTGAGTTCATATTTGCCTTTCAAGCTGCTTGTGCTACGTGCTACTCGAAATTCAATACTTTATCGTCACTCCCCAGTATTTTTCTAATCAACTCTCCTCCAGCACTGGCGTTACATACTCTAGGGCGAAGGGTAGCTAGGGTCTGGGCTCAAATCCTTGGCAAGCTGCAAAAACAATCTAGGAAGTCTAGAATCGGCGACACGCCAGATCTAGCATAATCAACAAAATCGCCACAATTGCTACGAAGAAAATGGTGAAAATTCTCACAATCTGAATTAAAAACGGTTCAAAATCTAAATGCATCGTCAGTCCCAAGATACCATAATGATAGAGTAGGCGTAATAAATGAGCTGATTAGCTCTGTAAAATCCACCCTGACTCTCAAGCACAACCTTCGAGCCGCCAAAGACTCCATCAGCCGCTCAAAGGAACAGATCAATCTAGCGCGTTTCTGCGGTGAGCCGTAAGACGCACCTAACGCGTCTTAGTGCGTCTCGCGCGTGCAGTTTAACGCAATTCTGTGTGGAAAAGCGTTACTGTTACTCTTATCTCAACTGTTACTTGTTATGTTATCTTTTACGCTTGTGTTGGGGAGGCAACATTTTTGGAATTTCAGAAGTCATGAACAGGAAGTTACAAGCGGCAGCTCATTAACAAAATTGAAGCCATTCTGAGAACATTTATCGCTTTTCTCTAATTATGCAAGATCTTGCATTTACTGCATCAGTCCTAGTACCATTACGGTCAACATATTACATTCACTTTTATTTTCACATTTTCCTATCATATCCATTATGGAGCTCGATTGGTCAATTACACATTTACTGAACAACTGAACATAATACTGGATCATGAAGAAGTTTGAGCGTTAACTATGGTATTTGCCTTGAATGCCAGTTGAACACTCAGCTTCAGCAGACTTGTATATGATGGCAGCACAGTTCACATGAATAATTTTATCCATGTTCATATATATCCAAGGAGAGTAGAGTGTTGTGAGAGGTAGCAAACAATTAAAACAATTCATTAGTAAACAACAGTAAACAAACAATTCATTAAAAGTAAACAAGCGATTTTCACGGAGTAAACTTCGGATGACCGGCATGCAGCATGACTACATTGATTTAAACTGACTAAAATTAGTAAATTAATTGAAGTACAAATCAGGAATTGAAAGTTCAAGCACAGGGTTGAAAAAATATTGAATTTGCAATAAATATATGTCATAGGATTTTTCAAATCATAAGCAAATATATGGATGAGGAACGTTTGCTTCGAAAAAATTGGTCTATACTATAGTCGGTCCTCAACTAATATAAAGAAAATGAGTAACTGGTTGACTAATACATAGAGATTATTGATAACCCATTTAATGATAAAAATTCGACAAAAGTAAGCCGCAAGTAGCATTCAGTACAGTTATATCGTTCTTTATGTGTATTACGTACGAGAGATTACACACCGATGCGTATCTATGATGATAATCATGGCTGGAGACCTGGCTAGAATTGGAAGACAGTTGTAATATGATGTGTACACCTGGCTTAAACTTATGACCGTAAGCTGAGGACCTATCAACTGATACTGTGAATTTGTCTTGAGGCTACGAAGGAAACATGTTTTAGGTCTTGCAACGTATGCCTGGAAACTTCTTCGTTGTTATGAGTCATAGACAGAGCTGGGCAGCGCTACTTTGAAATGTAGCGCCGCTACCGCTACCGCTACATGCTCTAAATGTAGCGGGCGCTACCGCTAAAGCTACACCCACTAGATTGTAGCGAGTGCTACCGCTACCGCTACAGTAAAATGTAGCGCCGCTACATTAGCCGCTACACTGGTCAAAACTATTGGAAATCTCTAAATATTTATTGTTCTGCTATTGGGATTTACACATAAACTTTTAATTATAATAAAACATTTTTAAAACATATCAATGCAACTTTATTGCAATTAACCTAACCAAACTAGTACTGGTTAGATACAGTAAATAAAAGTTAGTTATTTACTTATTTTTATGTTTTACCTTCCCAACATGGATGTCTAATTTAATCTACCAATCTCAAAAATTATCCACATATACATGTAAAAATCAGTCTTTTATTTGTATATATATATATATATATATTATATATATGGATAATTTTTGAGATTGGTAGATTAAAGTAGACATCCATGTAGGGAAGGTGAAACATAAAAATAACTGTGTAAAATAACTAAGCAAACTGAAACATGAAAAAATACCTGTAACATTTACTCGCCAGTCGCAAGCAAAGTGAAACCTGTAACATTTTCCTGCAAGCAAACTGAAACATAACAATACCTGTAACATTTACTCGCAAGTCGTAAGCAAATTGAAATATACAAATAACTAACATTTACTCGCCAGCAAACAACACGGAAAAATATTTCCATTTAGTTAAAAATTTTCTTTTAAAAATACCAGCAATTCAAAATGAACATCCGACAAGCTTGAACGCTTTGGCTTTAGGATATCCTTTCCCAAGGAAAGCATCCTCTTCACCGCAGCACTAGAAGGGATTGGAGTGTTGTACTCAAGGAACGGCTACGGGAAAATCTCAAGGAACGGGTTACAAGGAAATGATTCAGGAGCAGGTAAAGCGGTGCTTAGCGGACTTTCCAAATAATCCTTCACTAGTCGATCACTTGACTGTGATTTCGTGTTTTCTGGACTTCATTAAATAACGAATCAGCATTCTCTTCGTTCGACA